ACTATGCCTAGATCCCTGTATCACAGAGCCCTGTTGTTCCAAAATTGAACATGCATCACTATTTACCTCTGTCCCACTTAGCCCATGCAGACCTGATTCAGTGTTCCCCATCTTCCTTGTCCTTCCACTCCTCCCGCTTCTTGTGTACTGCCCTCCCCAATGCCTGAACAATGATGTGTCTGCCCCTACCTTGTGCTCTAACATCGCCTCCCTCCACCTTCCCTAAGTTGTCCCCTCCCCTCCTGGTAATAAAAAAAAATTGAGTCCAAAATTGGCACAATAAACACCCAATATAACAGTAAACACCCAATAGAACAGTTGTTGTTGTTGTTGTTAAGTGCCTTCGAGTCGGTTCTGACCCATAGCGACCCTATATAGGGTTTCCAAAGAGTAGCTGGTGAGCTTGAACCGCTGACCTTGCAGTTCAGATGGCTTTGCAGTGTGGTGCACTAACCCACAGCGCCACACCAGGACTCTAATAGAACAGTAAACACCCAATATAACAAGATGGAGAAGTGAGAACCTATTTGTGTATTTCTATCTATATATGCACAAGGGTATATCCATCTGCATTATCTCTTAATCCCATTTTTCCATGAGCGTTTTGAAGCCCTCTCTTATGTGAATTTACAGACTTCAGAGGGCTGAGGTGGTCCTAGGGGAGATGTCACAATCCACATCCTTACTAGCGACCTTGAACCATTCACTGAAAAGCTCTCTAAATCTGAGCATGGTCTGGAGTTAGAATGACAATGACGCTTGCTCATTGCCACGATTATTAACATAGAGAAAAGGTCTGCTCAATTACCTGGCACATAGTACATTTTCAATAAATAGTAAGTATTCTTGTTACCTCCAGGCCACTGGTGGTTAGAAACAGTTTAGGCATTTGGTAAAATGGTATCTCGCTGTTTAACCTGAAGAGTTTGTACCAAGAATTTCATTCACCCAAGATAAATATGTGGATGGATAACTGATATATTTTGGAGAATAGTGAAAGAAAAAAGATTTTATTACAAAGCAGTTTCCAGTATGATATTCAGAGTCTATGTCATTGTTGAATAGAAAAAAAAAAATTCTAGAAATTATTTTTACTAAGGCCCCTTTAATATCCTTGTTCCTGAGGCTGTAGATGAAAGGGTTCAGCATGGGGGTCACCACTGTGTACATCACAGCAGCGGCGATGTCTGTCTCAGCTGAGTGGGAGGATGAAGGGCTAAAATACACAGCAATGATGGTGCCATAGAAGAGGGAAACCACAGCCAGGTGGGAGCCACAGGTGGAGAAGGCTTTCCATTTCCCCTTTGTGGATGGGACTCTCAGGACTGCACAAGTGATGCAAATGTAGGAAACAAGGATGCAGACAAATGGAATCATCATTATTATGGCTCCCTCAGTAAGAATCATCATCTCATTGAGGTATGTGTCAGAGCAGGAGAGTTTCAGGAGAGGAGCCCCATCACAGAAAAAGTGAGGGATCGTGTTGTCTGCACAGAATGAGAGTCGAGCCATCAGCAGAGTGTGCAGCAGAGCATTCAGAATGGCAATGACCCAGGACCCAGAGACCAACAGAGCACAGAGCTGATGGGTCATCTTTGTTGTGTAATGTAAGGGGTGACATACAGCAACAAAGCGGTCATAGGCCATTATAGCCAGGAGGAAATTGTCCATGTCTGTAAAAACAATGAAAAAATACATCTGTGTGAGACACTCAGGGAAGGAGATGGTTTGATTGCTGAGTATGTTGGCCAGCATTTTGGGAACGGTGGTAGAGGAGAAGCAAATATCTACAAAGGACAGGTTGCCGAGGAAGAAGTACATGGGGGTGTGCAGATGGGAGTCAGTGCTGATGGCCAGGATGATGAGCAGGTTTCCCAGGACTGAGGCCAGGTACATGCTCAGGAAGAGCCCGAAGAGGAGCTGCTGCTGCTGGGGCTGCCTGGAGAGTCCCAGGAGGAGGAACTCAGAGACACTCGACTGGTTTGTCCCAGTCATGTCCATGGAGCCAGATCAATGCACAACAGCAAATTCAGAAATCTAGACACGGATGAATAAACTATAATAAAACAAACACCAGACTATGACATGTTTGAAAATCTGTTAATGCCGTTGCTAAGACAAGATCTGTCCCGTCCACTAATACTCCAATTTTCCACACTCAGTCCTAATACTATTTCTACTGGCCTCCTTGATTCTTGTGTGTTTAAAATAGAAAATCACACAGAAATATACACAGCCCAATTCTGTTCCTGTATGGGTGTCCACTTCCTTTTTTTTCAGTTCTTAAACACCCTCTTGGTATCTCCTGAAGAAAAGAGCAACTTATGTTTTCTACTTGGTTTATCTCAAGACCCAGTTGATGGATTCAGTATTCTCCTATTGAAGCCTAGATCTGGAAGACTTAGCAAAGGAAGTTCTTAAAAGAATTTCATTTCTCAAAAAGCAAATCTCTATGTCTCTTTTACTGTGATGTTGCTTGGTGTTGTAGCTGTGATGTGTTCTTCACCTCTGCAGAACTGGCCAATGCTGTTATTCATTGAGAGGGTCAGAAAGTCCTGAAAATATAGGCAGACCCTGAGCAAGTGAGGAGCAGGCCTCATGGTCTCAGTCCTCTGTGCCTGAAGATGTTTGTGAGAACCAAGGAGCAGGCGTTGACAGGAGACTCCATCACTATTGGGGCCAGGCTCCCTGAGAGCCTCATTAAGAGAAGAGAGTAATTGTCCTACCTACCTTTTGGCCTCTTTGGACCAAACAATAATGGCATTAAAATGTTATGTAGCTCCTGAGTCAGAACTTAGAAATGAAACCATTTTGGTATTAACAAGACCCAAACAAAACTCTTTGGGATCTCAAATGTCACAATTGTTCTGACAAAGGGATAAGTTTATAAGCTTCAAAATTCAGTTATTAAAATATTTTCCTTCTTACTTTCTTAGCTAAGAAATCTAAGTTCTTGTTAAGTGCTGTCAGGTCAGATCTGACTCATAGCGAGCCTGTGTAGGGTTTCCGAGGAATGACTGGTGAATTGTCCAGTACATTATCCTGTAGCACACACCAGAATGCCAAGAAAGCTGAGTTAGAACAATGAATTTGTGTAAAGTTTCCTACCCCAAATATCATCTACTGCATTGGCTGAGTGATGCCTTTGCCAATAGGAATACTGCATTACATAATTGTTTCTGAATTCTTGACAGCCTTTGGTTTAAAGGATAATCTGTTTTTAATGTGGGTTGAGGAGAAGTATCTAGAAGCTCATGTTAAGAATCAGGAACTTGGATTCCTTGACTAGATTCATCTTCGATGTATCTCAAGCCCAGAAAGATGAATTAATTATTGAAGGAAATGACATTGGACTTGTATCAAATTCAGCTACTTTAATTCAACAAGCCACAACAGTTTAACACAACAGTTTAACAGAAGGATATCCAAAAAATTTTGGATGGTATCTATGTGTCTGAAAAAAGAACCATCCAATAGGTTGATGAATAAGACGTAAAAGCTATCCAGCTATGGAAACAAGGCCCAGTGATTCCTAAGACCTATTGGTGATATTTTTGATGTAATAAAATTTATCTAACAAACAAACAAAAAAAAATCAGAGAACACTTTTTTCATCAATAGATACAGAAGGATTTAAAGTTTTTTATTTTCAAGCTTTATTGTCTTGTGTTGTTGTGAGGTGACACTGAGTTATTTCCAACTCATAGTGACTCAGTGTACAAAACACTGGCCCGTCCTACA